TATAATATTTAGGAAAATATTAAACAGCTTATTTTGATAATTTTGCGCAATAGCTCACTTGTAGTAGTTAGGTGTTAAACCCAACTGCTACGTTAATATTTTTAACCCAAAACGGATGTTAGCCCGAATGGGCTATTAATCTCGAAACGGGATTTTGCATTGAACCGCTATAAAAGGCTGATTCAGTTTTCAAATTGTTGCCACCAAATATTATCGCCCTGTATTATTTTTAAAGAAATTAAATAATGAATAATGTGCATGAATGTACGTATGTTTCTCGCACTGGGGAAAAACTACGGCACCCAGAGCTATCAAATTCTGAATAACGTTGTCTTCTACCCGAATTTGTGCACCTAGAATTCTCCCAATTTTTAATTTAAAATTTCATATTTACTATTTTGTAAAATTTTATTGAATTTTCGATTAACAAACTCATTGTTAAGTAACTCATTGGTTTAAATTTATTTAGAATTCATTTAGTTTGTATTTATGAATGTAAACACAAATTATAATTTAAAATAAAATAATATGTATAAAATTATAATAAAATAATATGTATGAGCTAGACATAGATGTTATGAGGGAGAAATGATATATAAATTTTTCACCACACAGGAGGTTTATCTTTCTTTTGACCAATTGGAAATAGAAAAAAAAAAAAAAAAAAAAATTAAATCTTAAATTACGTCCAAAGGGCCGTTTTTCTTTAACGTTTTGTGTGTTTGTTACTTTTATTTATTAAATATCATGTTCTTCGCACTTAAACCATAAATTTCAGTTCAATAGCAATGTCGCAAAATAATTTTAAAAAGAGCCTATCTTTAGAATTTCCGATACACAGTTCCGCGTGCTAGAAATAAAAAGGTTCCCCCCCCCGTAGATTGTTGCCATTGCTCGCTTTCAAATCGTTGAGTTTGTTACTCAAAAATTCGTTAAAGTTTCACAAAATATGAAATCGATAATAAAAGATATTCCAAATTTCAAATTTGGGCTTCCACATGCCCATATTCGCAGTAGGATTACGTCATTCAAAATTCAATGGCTCTATGTACCGTTGTTTTATCACAATGCTAGAAATAGATATGCATTTAGGCAGATTTTTCATTATTTAATTTCTTCAAATATAATGCAAGACTCTAACATTTGGTGGCAACAGTTTGAAAAGTGAAGCGGACATTTATAGTGATTCAACGCAAAATCGCAAAACATGAACAATAGTCCTTCAGGAATAAAGCCCCTTTGAACTAAAAAAAAGAAAGAAAGAAAGGGGGAAAAAAAAAGGATTTAACTGTAACTGAATTTCGCCAAAAATAGTTTCTAACTATTTATTTACAAAACATTTGTTTTAGCATTTATTTACGTATAGTTATATTTGTTTTAGCATTTAATATTGGATTTAATCCAATATTTGTTTTAAGCCGTCGGAAGTTGTTTCACGAGATCAGTATGTAACGCATATAATAATACATCAATAAGAGACTATTGTTTAAATATGAATAAATCTCTAATAAACTGTCAGTAATAGGTGCAAAATTTTTATTTTGGAAGATAAAAAAACATTTTTCTTCAAGCAGTTTGAAAAGTTTGCTGGAAATATTTTCTTCTATATTACTTCCAAAATTTATTCAAACCAACTTTCTGGAATTATAATTTCCGTATGAAAACATAATTTATCCTCAGTGCATCTGATATAAACATTTATTAACTTTCACCAGCTTAATTTTGTATGCGTAGGAATTACACTAAAGTTTATTAATTAGGATAGAAACCTCATCGCCGCAAGAATTTCTGTGAATTTTATAGTATGCTAACTTAATTGCTACGTTAGCATTTTTAGTTTTTAATTTTATTTGAAGTCTTATAACTTTAATTGTTACCTCAGAATTTTCAGCCTTTAGTTTTATTTACGGTTTCAAACTTAATTGCTACGTCAGCAATTTAGTCATTATTTTTATTTGCGATTTTAAACTTAATTGCTACATTAAAGTTTTTAGTCTTTAATTTTATTTACGGTCTTAAATTCATTTGCTATGTTAACATTTTTAATTTTTTAGTTTTACTTGCGTCTAAAACTTAATTACTACGTTAACATTTTTAGTCTTAATTTTATTTACGATCTTAATTGCGCCTACCAGCGGCCGAGCGGTAAAGTCGCTGAACACTGGTACTTCGGTCCGAGGTTCGAATCCCGCGAACGGGCTGGCTGCATGGGCGTTTTCGTGGTTTTCCCCATGTGGAACGTGTATACGAGCCAGTTTCCCTTAGAAAGTCCTCCACGAAAGGCATCTCTCCCCTTAGGCAGGTAGCCCTAGTGTGCTTTGCCATAATTAAATACACCAATACGATCTTAATTGCTAAGTTAACATTTTTTGTCTTATTTTTATAAATTAGGTTCCATAAATATAAGTTGATCAGTTATGATCAAATACGATCACTGACTTTCTCACTACATAGCGTACAACATTTAATATTATGCTCATTTGAAGGTAGGATTACACAATGAATCCACACAGTGAGAAATTCAACTCAACATAGTTATGTAAATTAGTGTCTTGGATTCATAAAATATGCCATTTTTCTACAGCAATACAAGAATACTGTATAAGAGGTAATGTACAGTTGTTCAGGACAATATCTTAGAAATGTCCCTTGCATTCAAAACATTGCTATCAGTTTCTAGGAACACTTTCTCTCTAGGAACGGGACGAAACGAATCAACGGCATGACATTCACAGTTTTCTGAAAAATTCCATTTTTAAGACAGTTACATTCAGCTATGGTATATATGGAAACTTTAATTTTCATATACGCCGAAAATACAGTTTGTTGCGGACAGTTCTGGAGAACTAGAGGTAAGACTCTAGTTCCAACCAACCCAAGAGGTAAGACTCCAGGACATGAAGCAAAATTTTTTTTTGGTAGGACTATCATAAAGCTCCCGTTCTTATCTGTACCCACAAGATATTAATAGGATTAAAAATTGCAATTTATCAGAAGATTGAGAATATTTCGTATGATGACTTGGCAAGTGTGTTTGGGAGATGGGAGCAGCACTTTGACTGCCATGAATATCTCCAAGACGTTGCACTGAAGACACATTTCGTTAATACAAAGCACACTTACCTTACGGTTGGTCTGCCAGACTCTATCGCAAGTAGGAAAATTATCATCAATATACAATAGTAGGGGCGGCATGAAACTCATTTCATACTTAGTGATATAGTCAGCAAAAAAATGAACAAATACATAAAATCTTACCTAGTACTGTAGTTCTTTATACAAATAGAAGAAACGTAAGGCAATTTGGATAGTTCAATAGGTACCATGCAATAAGTTGGTTACCTATTGGATACCTATTGAATAGTCCAATAGGTTGGATGGATACCTATTGATACTTCTTTGGTTGGACACTTATTGGTTGGATTAGTTACCTCTTTGGTGGGATACGTGCTGGTACAAAATTTGTTTGGATATCTATTGATTCGATGGATACTTTTCCTGGCATCTTTTCCTAGGATGAACTTTCAGATGCTTGGAGCCACGCTGGTCGTACCAACAGTTTTTAGAACAGAAATCAAACGAATATCTGTTAATATGGATTTCTTTGGAGACCTGTTTCTTTTCAAGTGAGAAATGCTTGTAGAGTCATTAGGATTTTTTTAGAGGCAGAAAAGATGAAAAATAGCAAACGTCTTCGCCGGGAATCGAACCACGGACCTCTGGAATACCGGCCTAGCGTGCAGAACCACTACACCACGAAGGACGCTAGGAAAGTGGGAGAAATACCTTATAGGCTACGCATACTGGTACACCCTATCGAACGTAGAAATGACGTAAGAGGCAAATCTGCGGCTTTCTAGATGCAGGCAAGTAAGATTTGAAAAATTCGATGACCGTCCCATAGTTCACTTAATTTTTGCTTACAGTTTAATCGCAATGAATTTCTGTTTATTCCATATGTAAATGGGCTGATACATTTTCATTGGCAGTTTGAGAACATATTAAAGAAAAGACGCCGTCTCAAGACTACGTTTCACTCGAATGTTTAAATATGCTTCGATGTTCGAACTTTTAATAACATATTTTTAGCCCAAAGGGGAAAACTAATTACTGAGAAGGGGTATTAGTCTCAAAACGGCATCTTGTGGCGTTACAGTAGAAACGGCGAATCACTTTTAAATTGTTGCCACCAAGTATTATCGCCTTGAATTATATTTAAAGAAATTAAACAATGTAAATTCTGCATGAATGTATTCATTTTTCTCGCACTGTGAAAAAACGACGGTACCTAGAGCCATCCAATTTTGAAAAACGTAATCCTTCACCCGAACACCCTGGAAGGCCGAATTTTGAATTTCGAATTTGTTTTATTATATATTTCATATTTTTTAAAACTTGATTGAATCAATCTTGTTCAATCAAACTCGAGCAAGACTGAGCAACTTGTTTCAATGAATTTCTGATTAGCAAATTCAACGATGTTAAAGCGAGTAATTGCAGCACTGTACGAAAAAATTTTTTTTATCTCCAGCACGCGAGACATTCTATCGGAAATTCTCAAGATATGCTGTTTTTAAAAATTTTCTGGTATTGCTGTTGAGTTGAATTTTTATGTGGTTTAAGTGCGAAGAACACGATATTTAATAAATAAAGGTGACACACAAAGCGTTAAAAAAAGCACCTTTGGCCGTAATATAAAATCTGAAAGCTTTCAAATTTTTTTTTTAATTAAATATTTTTAGTCATTTCCTTGAGGCTGTGAGAAGCCGTGAGAGGCCTTGAGGCCGTGATTAACATTGCCTTATTTGTATTTTCTGCTGTGTACAATACATGCAAATTATAAAAAGTATTACCGTTATTAAATATTAAATTTTTTTTATAAATTATCGAAAATTAGTAGTGGATAATATTCACTGCTATGTTTGGGAAATAAATCTTCCAAAAACTGTTCTAACAAATTAAATAAATTAATCCTGATTCATTTACTCTCTTTTCTATAGGTGAAAGCAGCGAAAATTCTCGCTATAATGCCATCTACATTCTGGTTATTTCTTCTTGCACTGTTTCATCTTCCAGCCATTGTATGGGGCCATGCAAGGCTCATGTCACCACCCTCGCGATCCAGTATGTGGAGACTCGGTTTTCCAACGAGGAAGAACTTCAATGACAACGCTCTCTATTGCGGTGGTATGCAGGTAAATGAGCTTGTCTTTTTCAGAATTAGTTACTCCAAATGCCCTCATTATCGTTTCGGCGTTTAAAACTGCCACCAATAAATCCCGAAAAAAGTCAACTTTCAACGGCAAATATACATTATCAGAACAAAAGGGGCTATCAGTTTCGAATTGGGGTTTGTGCCCAATCACTATAAATGCGTCGTTTAACTTTTCTTTCGAGTCTGTTGCCATTCTACAAGATATAAGATATTTATCTTTAAAACTGAATGAGCAATAGATTAAGTTCTTAATATTTGTTACTTAGTTTTGAATCCGACTGATTTTAATAAGAAAATGCACTTAATTAATGATCGGTCTTATTAAAAATATTCAATATTTTCACAGAATGATATTACATATTTCTTATTACTATTTCCTATTTTGTGAAATTTTTATGAATTTTTAATTAACAAACTCGACGATCTGAAAGTAACAAGTGGCAATACAGTACGGAGTAAAACACTTTTATTTCCAGCGCACGAGACTATCTATCGGAAATTCTAAACATGTACTGCTTTTAAATATTTTGTGAATTTGCTGTTGAATCGAATTTTATGTGATATAAGTGCTAATTGACTGCGAAGCTATCAAGGGCCTAAAATACAGCCGAGCTTACGAGAGAGTAGTCTAAAAAAGGCGGACGCGTGTAGACAGAATACCTAGTATCTCTCTCTCCAAGACCGAAGAACTTCGCGGTTATATTCCGCTCTTCCTCATTATGTATTCAGCCGTTATTCTAAAGCTACGTTCTTGCCGGAAGTAGTAAGTTGAAATTAAGAATCGACAGGAAAGGAATTTAAAATTTAAGTGTTGATAAAATGAACATAATCCTTAAAGCTTTTAATTTTTTTTTTCTGTCAAATTGTAATGACGTAAGTGCGAAAAAACGATGCTTAGTAACAAAGGTAAAAAGGGGGTAAAAGTGGGTTTTCAATTATTGCAATAGTAGATTGGTGAAGTGCAACATCAATGAGAACGTAAAAAACTATAGCAAATCCTTGAGCAACCGCTAAAATCTGAAAACATTTAGATTTTTTTTTAACGAATAATTTCGTAAGTAATACATATCATATAATCCGTATATGTCTTTTTAGTTTCGCAGTTTTTTAGGGAAACAATCTTATAAAATTAAAACTTAATGTAAATTTTACAACAATGATTTTGCAGGTTTTTTTGATGCAATGTTAGCGTTGCAGCTGATAAAACTTGATTACAGAAATACTTCATAACGAAATGTTGATTAATATACAATTAGTGATAAAAGGACGCATTGATATTCAGACTTAACAAATTAATAAATTTAAATTCGATTTTAAGCAGTTAAGTTAAAAATGCATTCAAATACAGTACCAAGGAAAGACAATCTATTTATGCTGACATACAGTAGTATCTTTTTCATCCTGATAACAAAAACGCGAATGCAAAGATTACTGTATTTTAATTATTAATTATTAAGACTATTGCATTTATTAAGATTGTATTACGAGTATAGAATTACAAAGATATTTGTATAATATAAATTATTAGGATTATTGTATGGAATTAATTGAATGTTTATATGAGAACAAAACAAACGTGATTGAATTACGAGAAATTAGATGTTACGGATTCCAAAAATTAATTTAATTTAGTTCAATTCTAGCTGCTGCATCTGTTGCTATATTATCAATGAAAGAAAATACCTAGCTTCCGATAAAGAACAAAACAATTGTATCCCACCAGGGTCAATTCTGATAAATAAATAAATTGAATCAAGTTTTCCAAAACGAACTGGAATATTTTAAGCTGGAAAAAATTAGTGTACTAAAACAGTATATGACCTTTCCAATAACTACAACACCAACAAGTATAGACATGAGAGCGTTTTCTGAATGGCTGGGTTATTTCGTACCCCCTTCCAATAAAAAGGATAGATTTTTCACTTTGGACACGCATTATGGTTTCCGTATTTTCGCTCTTAAAAAACACTCTTACATATTTGTTGCACTTCTTTGAAACTTATTTACTAGAATTACCTGACCTATTAACCAATCCTTCAAAGCAAACTGAAACAAATCCATTTGCTATTAACAATCCCAGCAGGCAGGAGGAAAAACTAGCAACCGCCTTCGCCGGGAATCGAACCACGGACCTCTGGAATACCTGCCCAGCGTGCAGAACCACTACACCACGAAGGCTCGCCAAGAAAGTGGGAGAGATCTAGTGATATTTATGATAGCAAAGAGCGTTAGACACCACAGAATCATTTTCGATTATTCATAGTTGAAGATTAAGAGGTATAACTTTATCTTCTTTATCTTACGAAGCATTTAATTATCCTGTTTGTATTTTGTACAAAATTACTAACACTATTAGAAATTTATTATTAAATGACGCAATTGAATAAACTATAATGACATATATTTTAAGAAAATTCCTAAATTTTTCTTTGTACATTTACATTTATAAAAATGTAAATGGTAAATGTTTCAGGTGCAGTGGCAGAGGAACGGCGGCAAATGCGGAATCTGTGGGGATCCCTACGACATGCCACATCCCAGAGACAATGAAGCGGGAGGAAAGTATGGAAGAGGAATAATTTCTAGACGCTATTTATCGGGACAAGTAAGCTATTTAATTTTTTTAATTGCATAGGAATGTAGTTAAAATCCAGTAAATACAGTAAAACATCGTTTACATGTCTTTCAAGAGGCAGCTCAACATAGAAACAACATAGATTCACATAGATAAACATAGATTCAACATAGATTTTTGAAAGGTTAGGTTAGGTTAGTTATTTAATTACGGCAAAGCCTCGAGGGCTATCTGCCTAAGGGAAGGGAGCCTTCGTGGAGGACTTTCTAAGGGAAACTGGCTCTTATACACGTTACACATGGGGAAAGCCACAAAAACACCCATGCAGCCAGCCCGTTCGCGGGATTCGAACCGCGGACCGAACTACTAGTGTTCAGCGACTTTACCGCTCGGCTGCTGATCGGCAATTTTCTAAACGTAACTTTGTCTTATAAGCTGTGACTGTCATAAGACTTAATTTGGAACTCTTTAGTTTCCCCAACTTCTAAGGCCCACCAGTGGCCGAGCGGTAAAGTCGCTGAACACTGATAGTTCGGTCCGAGGTTAGAATCCCGCGAACGGGCTGGCTGTATGGGCGTTTTCGTGGTTTTCCCCATGTGTAACGTGTGTACGAGCCAGTTTCCCTTAGAAAGTCCTCCATGGAGGCATCCCTACCCTTAGGCAGATAGCCCTAGTGAGCTTTGCCGTAATCTCAATAAACCAAACCAAACCCAACTTCTAAACTATTTTTAGCTTTTATCAAATTCTATTATAATAGTAAATGTTTTTGATGTATTACATGCGTTATCTGTTCCACTCACGGACCACCCCAGTTTAGTTTCTACAGCTACTAATGATTCAGAAACTCCTCAGACTCCTTTTGTAAGGCATACACAAGTATCCATCCATTCGTAAAGCATCCACACGCAAATCTAACTTTTAAAGATATTCTTTACAAAATTCTTTGATCGAATCAGTGCAATATTTTCATTTTTTTATGTTTTTGAATAGCATTGATCAGCTGCTCAACTAAGAAGAATTTAAATAAAATAATTACTTTTGTACATTGATCAGTTTAAGTTTACTTTTTTTTTATTTGAAAACATACCACAGATGTACAATACAGGGCTTACAGAAGTACGCTAACTAAAACATTAAAAGTTACGTGCATAAATAAAAAGAACAATAAAAATAAAAAGAACAAAAGCAGAGAACAGCAGTCTGGACTTCACGAAAACAGATACGTTCACTGTCCAAGTCACTCCGAACATTTTCAAATCGTTCTGCAAGCATAATCTAGGGACATCAAATGTAGAGCATAAGAAAACCAAGTGTTCCACATCCTGAAGCACTCTTTTTGAACATTCACATAAATTGTTTAATCTTAGATTGAAACGAAACAGGAAACTTTCAAATTTACCGTAACCAGATAAAAACTGAGAAACTTTAAAATTAATAGAGAGGAAAGACTCGGAATGCAGTCTATGGTAAATAGGAGAAAAGAACGTTTTGGTGACCTAAGCATTACAAGATGAAATATATTCCTCATTCCACTTAGCTAAAAGCTTCTTATAAGAAGGATGAAAGGACTTCTAATAGGTCTTTAGAATGCTAATGTCGATATCAATGGGTAACTTTAAGCCATCTTTAGCTAAGAAATCAGCTCTTTCATTTCCATAGAAACCGGGATGAGTATGCACATAAGCAAAACGGATATCAATTCTCTATTTCTAAGCGAACTAACATTTAAAAGGGTTTCGATAACTAATATGTCGTACTTGGTAATATTGTTTAGAAGGTGAAGAGAAGAAAGAGAATCAGAACAAATAAGGTACCTTAAGGATGATGTCCCATCATCCTTGAGGAATGTGAGGGCAAGATAAATACACAGAAGTTCTGCTTAAAAAACTGTGTATTCATTCCGTAGGAGGTGTCTAAAATAACAAACCTCGGAATGGTCTTCATTAAGGACAAATGCAAGGCCAAACTTGTTGATCATCTTGCAGCCATCTGTAAAGAAAATCACATGAAAACTCATTTCAGCAGACTCTTTATATAATCGCAAAAATTTGTGGCGGGAGGAAATGAAGTGAACGGACCCCCACCCCCCACCCCCCCCCCCCCCCCCCCCCCCCCACCCCCCCCCCCCCCCCCCCCCCCCCCCCCCCCCCCCCCCCACCCCCCCCCCCCCCCCCCCCCCCCCCCCCCCCCCCCCCCCCCCCACCCCCCCC